TTTTTCGATTTTGATTACAGCTTGCCGCGACGCGAAAAATTGTGAAATTCTTTGTCATGAGAATCTTGGAACATTCTGGTAAGTTGTCAAATCTTTTTTAGATTTTCTACAAAGTTTTTTTTTGGATTGACAGCTTTTATGTTGTCTTTTAGAAGCTTTTGCCTAAGGTTGAGACTATAGAAACCCTTTTTTTCTGGCTACTGATGTTTTAATATTTTCATTATAAACGCATACCAATGAAACCCTGCTTTATCAATTGGATCGTATCCATTAATCATCCAATACATAGCTTTTGATAACTGGTCCACACATGCGTGTATGCATCTTCATGAGTAGTTTTTTGTTTTCTAAATTGTACATTAATTGGAGATTAAATGTATTTGCAGAAAGGAAATCAAGATTAGCAATTTGTAAGAAATTTCTGAACATCCGCCATTTGTTTTTTTTTTTTTTTTGCTGGATAATCGATGCATCCTACGCTTGCCAAGGCTGGGGAGGCATACGGGTTCTTGCCTCCGCAAGCATTCAAACATAAATAATAAATAATTATATAACTAAATCGTAATACTTGGACTTTAGTGTAAATTCAATTTAGGTTTACTAGCACGAGTTGGTGTAAACAGCTTCGTATCTGATGCTTTTGTTTTCCTCCGTCCAGCGTCAATAATCTTTTGTATTTATATTATATTGCGGTATATTGCAATATTTTTGCACTAAAAAAAATGAACTCCCAAGAAACCATAGTTCATTTCTAAGACACTTTTAGTGCAAAATCTTTATGATTGCTCTGTCGAAATACATTTTCTTACTAGAATTCAAGTCGTAAAATTCTTATTTAGAATATGTAAAATCGTCAGTTGTTGTCAAGCAGCGTAATATTTCGGTCGAATATCCGTAACCACGAAGCAGAGACCCATACCATAACAACTATACAAAAAAAAAAAAAAGAAAAAGAAAACAACCCAAATGTAAACGTTTTTGAGAAAGTTCTTACCCTTCTTTGCGTGGGAGTTATGACAAAAGTTTATTATTAGAGGATATCGAAATTTACTTATTCTCTTTCTTTTATATATATATATATAAATGTTGTACGAAAGATATTCGGATAAAGTCATCTATAATTTGCTGCTCATGTATTTAGGTGCGTATCAGTACAATTAAAATGTTTTCAATGAATTTCTAGGCCGTCGATCTCCCTCTTTGCTTTTATCATGTTCTGCATCATTTGTTATCTTCTCTTATTATTACATCTTTTACATGCCTGCTGCTTCTGATAGCACTAAACTATATCTTATCAGCAGTTTAATCGAATAAATAGTACATCTTGAGCAGATGAAATTCGTTTTAACCTCGCCTAACATCTCTTGTAAATTATCTTATATTCATGATTATATATTTCATTATAATTTCTACATTTTTCTTCTTTCCATGATGTGGAGACAGAAAATTGGAATGAGGTCGCTATATTCTTGCTTTGCTCATTGCTTTTGCTAATTAAAGATTTCCACCGGACAAATTCATCTATGCCGTAGACAAAAATCAAAATTTTTATCGAATTTTAATAGCAATCGTTATTGATCGAATGTGACTATTTTTTTTTTTTTTTGAAATGACGATGAGAGAACATTAGTTGATGCCTGGGGCAAATAAAACTTCATTCTTTATTTTTTGCTTCAAAGAGGTTAAAAAATTATTTTAAAAATATAATAAAAAAAATAATCGTTATTTTTAAAAATTTTTTCCCAATCGTTCGTTTATTCGCCATGAATTGGTACGCTTTGCAATGTGACATCCTCGACTTGAACGTGAGGTGGTGTTTCCAAAGTGTAATATAATGCTTGCGCTACATCTTCAGTGTTTAGCTTTGGCATTTTCGATGCGGTCGCATATACTTTTAGGAAGTCAGTGTCAACCATACCGGGATTAATACTCTGAAAGACGAACAAATGTTAATTGACGTAATATTAAGTAAATTTTAATGATCCTTTGACAAGGATAGAATGTTAGAAATTTCACATAGCACAAGAGTGAGTGTAGCTATTTTTTTGAATTTGACGAAGTACGTGAGCGAAAAGCAAATATTTTTAGATTCAAGTTGACGACGTTCTAGATCAATAGCAATGATCTTCTGTTTTTACTCAATGATCTTTTCTCTTCAATTCAAGTTTGCCAACGATTTTGTAAAATCCTATTAATTAGAAATAGCAAAGTGATTAGACACAAGCCAAGCATTTTTTTTTTCAGTAAAGTTCGGTAGGTTGCCTTGTGCTCGATTAGATACAAGCTTCAAATTGATCGTACGTCACTTTTTGATTCAGTCAGTTCATCGTCATTGACTGCTTCATTTGTTTTAAACCAAATTTTAATGGCGCAAGAATGGCTAAATAGCTCAATGCTTATTAATACATTGTTCAGTTGATTGTGACAGCCTCCCTCGCTATTATGTGCTCATTTCATTACTTTGACAAGATTTAGTATGCTTGATATGGGATGAGTACAGAAAATCGTCAAATAATTAAAGAACACTGACGAAATGGATTTCATGCGGCGGGATATCAAGCGAGCAACAAGCGAAAATTTCCGTTCTTGTGTTGCCCATTTAATTACCCGCAGGCTATTTAGCCTATTTTACTCCTCGGGCAATTTTATTTTCTTTTTTTTTTTTTTTTTTTTTTTGCATTATTATCATTTACTGCATGCCGGCGAGAATATGTAAAATCCTTCCTTTATGTTCGCCAAAATATCTACATTTACACGAACACGCAATCATTTGTTTATGTAAACAAGTGTGTGCGCCTAGATTGACAGTAGCGGTTGTTTGGCTGGTGGGTGCATATGTGTAATTTCGCTTTGGTCCATTCACATCACGTGACTGGGCTTGAGGTTGTCTGGAGGGTAATAATGCCATTACCTTTCACGGAATTATGAAGAGTTGGCTGATGTGTGTTGTCAACAAATGAACATGAGAAGTACATTCATTATCAAGTATGTATGAAATTTTTGCACACATGTACATATATAAACAATATGGATTTACACATGTAGGCATATATGTGCGTATATGTCAGTTCATTCAGTCATTTATTCGCTTTTATACGTTCATTTGTCTGATTGTTTGTTGTTTGTTTTCATTTATATTGTAATCCGTTGCGTTTATACAATAATGTGTGTGTGTGTGCGCGTGTGTGCGTGTGTATGTGGGCGAGTATGCGTTGGTATTTATTTAAGCACTTGATTAAAGTAAAGATAAAATTGTTTAACATAAAACGTGATAAAAGTTGTTAAGAAAACAACAACAACAACAACAACAATAATAATAACAACGACAACGGTTGCATTTATAAAAGACACTATTGCCATTGTAAATGTCCACTCGTATGCGAATATGTAAATTGCTTCGTAATGAAATCATTGAGTCTAAGCATAAATACATGGCGAAATTTTGAAAATTTTAATCGAAATTTAGATATTTTAAAATATTTGTTTGTTTATAATTAATTTTTTTTAGTTCATAATTAATTTCATTGAGCATCGAATTGCCAGCAGCAAGCGATCAAAGTATTCGTTTGATCAGAAGAATGAAGAGTAGCTTTTGGTATCTTCACAAAATGTAGCTGATATGCCCTTTCGTTTAGATAGCAGAGTTTGCGAGTTTTATATTTCGAAATCATTAGTTAATTAGTGCTTAGTTTGCTCTTTGATCTCCACAATCTTCATGCTGAACAGAAATTATGACTTTTTCGAAAACAGTATAACATTCGTTTACGTTTACCTGTAACCTAATAGTTGAAAAATAAAACCTAAGGATATATATGAAGTCTTGGTGTCGTCAAAAGTGTCTCGGATTGTGTGCGATTGATACCGTTAGGAGGGAAAGCAATTTTTCAACTCTTATTCTCTCGAACGCTTATCTTTGGGTGAAACAACTGATTGCTCAATGTTGCGATTATTACCCATCGCCACGAAGACAAATCAATGAAAGCCTTTGTTTTAAGCAGTAATGCTCGATCGGTCAGGTGGGGTTTTTTTTTGCATCACTAGACTGTGGTAAGTTATAAAAATTAGTGGAAATTATATCCAATACGAGGATTTTTCAGCTGCATGTCTTTACTGATTGAAGCTTTCCTTTTTGAATGTCATAAGTGTAGCTTTAACTTTCAGGGAAAGGGTTAAGGAGATCCACTGCGCGATTGTTGGGCAGTCAACACTGAAAGTATATCCGATGTACTTACTTTTCAGCTTGAGGCCTTTACCAATGGAAGCTTTGCTTTTTGAATCCTATAGATATGCCTCGAATCAGCAGAGAAAGGATTAAGGAAATGTAGAACGAAATTTCTCGCTTACTTCGTCAGCTAACTTGTTTTTACATCTTCGAGTGCAGTGTTTTTCTTTCTTTCTTTCTTTCTATGAGTTTTTTTCTGTTCCTGAGTTTGCAATAATTGTGCGTTGGAACGAACCCCCTCTCTAAAGATTATGGGAGTCCTTTATCTCGCCGCATATAAGATTGCGATAATTGGTTAGTCGACGTTAATTTCTTCTTTCTTCAGCCAAATGCGTCAAATCTCTGACGTGTATGTGCCTGTGTATGTGGCTTATGTTTTAATCGATATTAAGTGCAAGCATTGTCGTGCAGATCAATATCTCTCTCTATCAAGTAATTTTGTTAATTATATTCCTTTCGCACTTTTCGCTTACGGCATTCTCTTCTTCCTAATACAAGAGATAAATTTTTTTTTTTTTTACCAAAAAAAAATAAAGCAAAAGTGTTTGCTTTTGTTTCTTTCAAATTTATTTTTGAAATGTAATTAAGCCACGGATTTCAATAAATGAATTCGGCATGCATTTTTTCTTTGCTCTTTACCATACGTACGGTTGACATCACTCCAGGAGACAAATGAACTGCGTGTGATTAGAATTTCGCTACAGAATTATGCATATGCAGGCATTTTAATGCAACATGAAAAAGACGCAACGCGTGATTGATGGAGAGCTAGTGAGTGCGTATCCAGTGATTGTGGAAGAAGAAGGGAAGGGTATGATAGATGGGAAAGAAAAATATAAAAAATTTGTTTTTTCTTTTCATGCTTACCGTTAATTTAATATTTAATTTAAGAAATTGTATTTCCTGACGCACTGTTTGACACAAAGCAGCAATTGCATGCTTGCTAGCTGGGTAAACGCTGAATAAGGGCATTGACACATCGGGTACGCGATGACCAAGTATGCTGTCCAGTTATTAACCAAGCGTAAGCAAACGGTTTGATGGATTTTCATATGTAAAAAAAAAAAAAAATAAATAAAAGTGAGAGAGAGAGAGAGAGGGTAAAAAAAGGAAATGAAAATAAAGTAAACTCAGCTGAGAAAGTTTATAGTTCGTAACAACAACAACAACAACAACAACAACAGCAACAACAACAACAACAACAACAACAACAATTTAAAGGACGTAAAGTATAGCTAGGTACAGGTATAGGTAGGCGCAGTAAGATGCATGCACGCATATACATACAAAGTAGAGCACACACGCACGCACACACACATTTGCGAACAAATTCCGCATTGCCTTACTGCTCACGTTAAGTATGTATATTTGTATTTATACTCTATCATACCTGCTGTATTTCGTATGGATTATATGTGTAAATATATATATATATATATATATATATATATGTATATGTATATATATATGTAAGATATACATAAAACTGGCCTCAAACGAGAATCTCCATTAAAATGAATTACATTAATGAAGTAACTCTTTCTCAATATTCATATTCGTATTCATTATTATTATGATCATTATCATATCTTTACTACTATTTGTTGCTTTTTTTTGTTTTCGTATTGTTTTTGGTTCGTATTGTTTATGCTACAATGATTTTCACTTAATAACTCGGCAATGATTGTGATTTTGGTTTTTAATGCTTTTCTGGTTTGCACGTGCGTATGTTTGCCAGAATGCCGCCAGTGTATAGGAGTATATTTGTAATTATTTGTATTACCACTTAACGTTTGCTCCATGCGTAACAGCAACAGCAACAGCAACAACAATAACATGTAACGTATTTTAATTAACAAATTATTGAATATAACTTAAGTCTGTAATTAACTTTACAATACAATCGAATATACGCCAGAATTATACGAATTAAAGATAAAAGCGAAATATGTAAACAATGATGTAAAATGCATATATATATATATATATATATATATATATATATATATATGTCCATATGTAGATTGAGTAAGCTTTCATAATTTATATTATATGAATAATATGATGTACATACATGCACATATATGTGTAATTATATTTCATTTATGCATTTATTTGTTTGTTTTTATTTATTTTCATTTACGAATAATTCATAAAATTGTATATATATAGCAAAACAAAAAAAAAAAAAATGCATCTCTCACTTACAATCAATCATACAGGCATGTGTAAATAGAATAATGACGATAATGATGATAATGACGGATAAGTGTCTACATATAAACACATTTATATGCGTATGAATGAAAATCATTTGCATGCTTGATGCGTGTATGTATGCGTGAATAAACAAACACTCACGCATATCTATAAATATGTCTCTGGATAAATTAATTTACCATTGTATTCTCATATATATGTCAATGAAGCGACTGAATTGCTTTGCATTGTATATGTTTTGCATTACTGCCACACACACATTACACGCGTTATACACATTAAATACGTTTACGGATTTGTGTAGGTTCTCTGGGTTGTAAATACTTAATTGTGTTTAATAATTGAATTATTTTGCGTTTTATTTGCACTTTAATGCACTAGTAGCTGTACTAGCATCGAATGCTCTACAATTTGGAAAATTGTTGAGATAATGTATACATATATATATGCAAAAAAAAAAAAAAGAGGAATTCCCCTTGAAGACGAATATCGAATACTCAACGCGAAAGTTTCTTTAAAACCTTAAAAAGTAGGTGAGAAGTTAATGATTTCCAACGAAATGTTTTAAAACAAAGCAATTTAACTTTACATGGACCGAAGCGTCAAAACTTCGTACATTGCTCTCCATATATGCGGCCAAGAAAAGAATTTCATAAAGAATAAAGATCGCGACCATATGTTAATAGAATCAAGTAATGTTCTACATGCTCTGCTCTGTGGCGAGGTTAGATGTGTATGGCATCTTTCAAAATCCTGGAATATAGCTATAAGCTATAGTAGTTATTCTAATTAAAGCAAGAGATAAAAACAAAAGGTCTCCGTTGGAAGAAACGCTTGTGTTTCATAAGCGAGAGAGAGAGAGAGAGACTTGAATTTCATGCTGATCAAAATTACAGTTAGATATATATACATATGTACCTATAAAAGACATATTATCATTGTCGATGCTTGTACCTCATTGCTATAAGTAACATAATAAATTTAGCATACTTTCAAGGGAGCGGCGTTGGATATTTGGTGGAAAAAAAAACAAACTACGCCTGGAAATGCATAAAATGAAAAAGTAGTGAAAACCATGCATAAATGCATGTGCGGTTAACTGATGTTGTCTCGCACAAAATAATCACTCAAGTTTGAATTTCAGTTATGCAGTCAGTGTACGCCAGGGAGAAATGACACGAGATGTAAAGGCAAACGCGTGCATAACATCATTAATGGAATTTGCAAAAGCTATAGCACTCAGTCAAATACATTTTGTATCTACTTTTTGGAAAACGTAAAGATGATATTGAAATGAATGTAAATTTGCCGCAACCTACATACCTGCTTTTGAATTCATCATTCATCCTCATAATGTCCGCCGAGTCATACGGCATAATATAAACCGATAGACAAGTGCAACAGTTGCAATGAATGCACTTAAAATTACAAAAAAAAAAAAAAACGTCTTGTTGTCTGTACATGTATATAATTGCATACGCATGCATTTACGTACTTAAGGTATAAGTCATATTCATTAATTGGGAATTTTCACACTCATTAACAAGGAATGCGATGTGTTGTATGTGTGTGTTTATTGCTCAACACAAAAATGATTTTTAAGAAATGATTTAAATCTCCTTAATAGTAGACGATAGCCACTAGCCTAAGTCAATATATAACACTTAGTTGGCCTCCTATAATTAATAGAATCGAAAATTTTGAACTAAATGGATTGCTAAAAATTAAGTGAAGGGTTTTGTCGACATTCGAACGAAGTGATGGAGATGTCCATCAGCGTTAGGCTGGACAGACGGAATAAAGTAAAGTTACGTACTGGGCTGAGCCCGTGGTATGCAGTGGAAGGCATCCTCAGCAGATACGTACCGTTGAGAGTTAAGAGAGAGATAGCTACAGGACGGCACTGGAGTGGAAGGCATCCTTAGCAAATGTGTGTACCATTGTGAGGTAGAAGAGATAGGTACTGGATGGTAGTGCAGTGAAAGGCATCCTTAGCAGATACGTATCGTTGAGAGGTGGGAGAGATAGATACTGGATGGTAGCGCAGTGAAAGGCATCCTTAGCCGATACGTATCGTTGAGAGGTAGGAGAGATAGGGACTGAACTGGACCGGTGGGAAGTACGCGAAACGCGTAAAGGACTGAGCCGTCGAAATTTATTTTGAAATGCTCAATAATCTTAGCTGGGACACTGGAAGCCAACACTTGATGACCTCAAAATTCAAAGTGCCCGAAAAGATGCATTTGTTGGGAAGTCTTAAAAAGATAAACGTTTCTTTGGTCAGCTAAGCGTTGCCAATTAATACAATCTTTGAAATGACTCCGAGCAGCCTTTAAGAACTGGCGTAACTTCTTTCTTACTTGCATGGACAAATATAAGCAAATGTATCGAGATTACTTGGGTTTTTTTTCTTTTTTTTTCCGCCTGAATAGCCGAAGGGGAGGAATCTCGACTAGCAAGTCAATGGTCGTGGGTTCGAATCTCAAGGGCGGTAGAGTTTTTAATAAAAAGCCGATAGCCTTAGATGCTAGTGCTTTTAAGAGTTTAGTCTTAGAATTTATTTCTCTAGCGAAATTAATAATAATAATAATAATACTTGGGTTTTTGATATATAAATACTATAGTTTCCTATCTTAATGCGCATTTAAACACTGATACCTTACTCACATAAACAGTAAGGTCTTACCTAAATCATATAATTCCAGTAAATTTATTCTGTAATCAAATGCATTTAAGGACACACTTTTAACAATGAAAACCAAACCGATCTGCTTAGTTACCTTGTACGCCTATGTAAAGACATATTTTCTTCTTAAAAATGTAATGTGTCTTTAGTGCATCAATAACTTTATGCAAAGCTCGTAAAGAGTTGTAAACATATGTACATATATACATATGTATAGTGTATAAATACTTGGGTTTACGTTTATATTTGTGTCGATGTCTATCCGACAGCCATTAGCAATGATGCCATTGATTTAATCAAATTTCATGAACCACCAACGAGCAGAATGCATGCAGCCACATTCAGTGGTTTTTCCTACCTGTCAGCTCAATGCTTTTCACATAAATTCATTTAATAAATGTCGTACAAAAGCAATATAGTATAAGTGAATTCTTGAAAATTCATTTTTATAAAAAAATTTATTACGAAAATGCATTAAATCGGATGCCTACAAATTTTGTATTTCAATATTTCATCATCATCAGTATTGATTATAGGAGAAATTTTGTAAGCAAAATAAAGGTTAAACTAGGCAAAGATTGTAATGTAAATATAAAAAATTTTTTTTTCAAATAAAAATTATTGTTTAAAAGCGAAGATGAGTCAGTATTTGAATAATTTGACTTACTCTACTTGGACGTAAAGCATTACAACACATATATATATATATAAGATTGCGTGTGTCAATGTGTTCAAGCTATTACATAAGTTAGTGTTCGTGAAATGCTTTTAACTCTTTCCCTTGCGAAAAATGTATTAATAATAAGATGATAAATTTTCATCGCTCTTTATATTAGTGCTCGCTTGCCTGTATGCGTGCACGCACGCATGCATGCATGCATGCATTGCTCTGGTGAATTACAATCGGTTATGAATAGAATTCAGGTGTTTAATTGATTGCTGGCCGGCCAGTCATATACAGTAAAAGTGTTAGTGTGAAATATAGTTCGTTTATTTGTATGTTATCTGGATATGATGTTCATCATCACTATATGACAAAAATATGTTAATTTTATTATATCGTTTATACAATTCAGAAATAAGTATTGCGCTTTAGGATCACATACACACTGGGCGCCAGTCTTTTTGTTTTTTAAAGAGAGACGCCAGTTAAAATTGATAGTTAAAAAGATCACTAGGTTAACTTGGAAATAAAAATTTATTTTCCAAATAGTTTTGCACCGAATCGGATTTTTTTTTTTATATATATAATAATTATGTAAGCTTCACTACAAGAAGCGTAGATAGAGCCCTTCGATAGGAGAGGTACAACATATTTGAGGTTATGTCGTGACATTTGCTTTAGTTTCGTTTCGCTTCCTTTGCACTTAAGTACATAATACTTTTATTCTTCACAACTTAAGTCGTGTACTCAATAATTATTCGTAATTCGTTTGTTCCTTTGAAGTTCATGGTCGTAGTGTTTTTGTCTGTTCCTTCAAAGCCTGTCAAAGCCTGTCATTCGACGGTCGAATCAACACATGGGTCAATTTAAGTTGGAAACTCGACTTATATGTTGTGGAAAAGCCAGACAAATGTTTCAGAGAGAACTAATGCTGATCTATTTCGGAATGCAAAGCATATCGATTGCCGGATGCTACATTATTTCGCATAAAAGTTGAACTCTGAGCGACAGCTAACCGAAATATATAATTCAGCAGCAATGAGATCCACTTTATAGATATGTATGTATTCATATAAATCGTTTGACATTTAGTTTATTGGGTCGTATGATTGTTGAAAATTGCTAATGATACACTTTATGAAACACAATGAATGTATTGAAAGACAGACAGACAGCAATGGAGAAACTAGAGCAAAGAAAGCTTCGGTTTTTTTTTTCTCTCTCTCTCTCTCTCTCTCTCTTTACTTGTGATATTATCGCTTACCTATTCATGATGATTATATGGCAATTTAGGTTAGGCGTAGAACGCATAGCTCGAAGTCCTTCGCGTAAACAAATTGTCGTAGAGAAAACATTCAAATCGTACAATTGCTTTATATCAGATGTGGGGGATTCTAAAGGAAGAGAAAAACAAAGGATATTTACATAGAAGGTCACAAGCATACCTAGAGATTGATTTATATCAGATACCTGAAAGGAAATTGGCTTTAATCATGCCCGCGTTGCAAACCAATATTTGAAATGTTGTAAATTTCTCTTGTATCCATTTAAAAGCTTCCAAAATACTGGGTTCATCGTTAAGATCACAACAGTATGCATGAATTTTACCCTCACCGGTTATTTGATTATTTAATTCTTCGATAAGTTCAACTCTACGCGCCAAGCCAATCACTGTAATACCGGCATTGGCTAATTTAAGAGCTACACATGCACCGATACCACTCGAAGCTCCCGTAATGACAGCAGTTTTTTTATACCAATATTTAGATGTCATTATTATTACTATTATTATTATTATTATTATTATTATTATTGTTTATTGTGTTATACTTTATGATGACTTAGAGCTCGAATCAATGTGTTCAACCTTTATGCATGAAAGTTGCTGAGAAACTAAATTAAAAAATGCATTCATTTGATGCAAAAATCACGAGTAAGTTTTTTTATAAATGCATTCTCAATAGAGATTTTGTGTTGTGGTTTGGAAAATGTGTATGTTTCGTTGTTCCCCATCAATAAAAAAAAAACATGACTTGAAAGTTGCATGATTTAGTTCATTGATCTTGTTTTTTATTGTAACTGTCTGAATAATATCGTATCGTGTAGCGAGTTATCAAATGTCGTCATTTTTTTGCAAATTTTATGTACATTCGGGTTGTGATGATTTTCTCTTTGATTGCAGTTCCCACTTGAAGAATTTCTGCATTCTGCATTAGTAGTACATCTTACGTACATCTTTGTTGCTCCGCAAGATTTTCTAAGAGTTCTTAATTAATTACTCGGTATGAAGTCTCATATAGAGTGCTGTGCAGTGCATTACGTAACAATTGCGGTCGATGGTTTTTGATCTCTTCTACTATTAAATTGGATTTGTTTGGGTGTATCTGTCTGTGTGTGTGTGTGCTCTCGATATTTAGTCAATTATTTAATATCTGATAATTACTATTATTCATTTGTGTATGTGTGTATTTGTGTATTTATATGTATCTATAAAGTGTGTAAATTTTATGTGGTTACAGTTATTAGTATATATTATTATATATTATACATATTTTATTTTTGTTCATTTCGATCAATAGAAACATATCTGTGACAGTTGTTTGTAATTTGAGTAATTTTGCAAATACCCGTAAGTCACACATATATATATATATACACGCAGATGGTTTTTGCACTTTTTAAGTTTTTTTGTGTAAAATTTTTATTCAATAGCAGCGCTCCTTAAACTGATTAACAAAAGTTCGATCAAGGTGCAATCAGAAGATTCATATTAGAGCAACCGGAAAATTATCTTGTTTCTTCGCAAAGCGATATCCGTTGATCATTTATCAGAAATGAAAGCAAATCCGTGCCGGGAATCGAGGACAAGCAGTCTTAAACCCATCTAAGAACATTTGCTGCAAATTGGTAAAGCAAGTGTCCCGCTTAACTTGTCCGACACAGGCAACTTATTGCTTCAGTGTCAAAATGGGAAAGTATTTTTTATTTGTCTGATCATCGCGAATGATCACCTTTAAGATAACCCAAAAGGCAAAAGGCTCTCTCCGTTAGCACTTTCTGCAAGTGCTTTCAATATGGCCATAGGATTGATTGCACTGAATGCAAATGAGGAAATGCGGTTTCGGTATTTATTTTGCCGAATCACAAGAGTTTGTCCACGAGGAATAGACTCCTTAAGCAATCATTCGTGTATTCCAAATGTATGTTCAAACTGATTTCTTGCAAAACTTCTGATCTTTGATCTGATTTTCTCGACATGCGTTAGATGTAATAGCGGTGGAGCAAGGTCAAGTTTAACATGAAAGTAATGTGAATGACAGAACTATGGATTTTCTTGTCAATCTTTCTTTTAAGGATTTTGTAATAAATGTTTGTGGCCCCGCCTTTCCTATTATGCGTAAAATGCAAATGTGACTGCTGTATGTCGTGCTGTGGTATTTGTAAAATCTACTAACAGAAATTCTTATTATGGTAATTGTTTTCCATGTGAAATTCAAAGGGTTCGGATACTTTATTCCACCGATAGACTACCTGTGATGATAACCCTTCTTAGTTTAGATGTTGTGAGTAAACTATACTTACGCAAGTTTTCTTAGAAGGCTTGGAAGGAATCGAATTAGAATCATTTCCTAAATCGATTCAAGTCCGTCTGTCTGTCTGTTTGTCTCTTTAATTTATATTTGTAACCAAAAACTTTCCTGAAGAAATACAACCCTTCTCATTGCATAGATGTATTGGCGGATCTGTTGTTATATAAAACTACGTTCTTCCTTGGAACAAATAAACCTATTGCCTCTTCCCATAAAAGGTTTCTCATAACAAATTCGTTATGGATTTGTTGCTTTAGTAAGAAGTGAAAATCTGTTTTAGATCCTAATTTCTGAAAAATTTCTATTTGTTAATGTCGTTGAAGGTTTCCATTGCCCTAATTTGAGAATCGCTGATTATCATAAACATGTGCCGCATGGCAGGTTTTGTTATATTCACCACAGGGAATATATTAAGTTTATTAAATATTTTTGTAACTTATGCACATACGCCTTAGAGACTTCATAAACTCTACATAGTATAGTTGATTTAGCCACGCATTCGTCTATTTATCTACTAAAATATCGCGAACTTGACGCTTTGTCCAAAAAGTCGAACTTAAGCTTACATCTTCTGTACTCTCGTCAAATTTAAGTTCGAAATTCAATTTAAAGAAAAAAAAAAAAAGGCTGACGGCATGAAAAATCTGATCGTTTACTGTGTTCGCCTGCAATGGGACATATATATATATATATATATATATATATACTATGTTTATGAAATAATGTATGTAATTTTTTCTTTCATTATACGCATATTAATGATTGAATATGATATGCCATCTGCCGTACATTCTGAACATTGCCATAGAGACATCGATTTTAGCGACGTTCACATACGTTATTACGCTTATGTAAAAATATTTCTGATTTCGGTGAAATGTTTTTGAAAAACCATTACATACTTTTGGGAAATCATCTAAGCGTCTAATATTTACATTATAATAAATTGAAATGAAACCCTTGATCAAGTCGTTATACAGCAGATAACGACTTCCAAATATTGTTATTCGGTCGGCTGCGAATTGAATTTCCGAAGAGATTCCCATTCTGGCACGATTTAACTATATTCGATCTTGATCTATTTGTTCCTGGGAACTGCATTGTCAAATATCGTAACATTAATTCCAAATATTAATATTGATTGATATCCGCCTGAGTAGATGAAGGCGAGGAATCTCGACTAGCAAGCCAATGGTCGTGGGTTCGAATCTCAAGTGCGGTAAAGATTTTAATAAAATCCGATAGCCTTAGATGCTAGTGCTTTTAAGAGTCTTTTAGTCTTAGAATTTATTTCTCTGGCGAAATTAATAATAATAATAATAATATTAATATTGATAAGTTATTTCAACTCTTGTTTCACTATAACCGATCAAAATAAATATCGTTTCGATTAGCTCACTAACATGACCAGTATTACATGACGGTAATCAGGTGAAAGGTATCCAAGATTCGTTTCAAATCAATTATAATATTTTTAATTTTTGTATCGATACTTTTTAAGTTTAACGAAACTATATTTTGTTGTTATTTGATATTTTTCATGAAATATGAATTTTTTTTCATATTTCACACTTTGTTGCTTTTGAAATGAAAATCGGCGGTTTTCGAAAGCATTATTATGGCTTCCTTTATATAATTGCAAAAAAAAAAAAAAAAAAAAACACCAAATTTAACCGCAAATGCATTCGAGAGTGTAAAGAAAGCAGGAGAGGCATGGTGAAAAATGTTTTGGCAAGAACAATATGCTTAATATCGATGTGAGTTTGTTTTGAAAGATATCGATAGCAGCGTTATAAGGCAAATCCCTTTAGGTTGTTCACTTCTCCTGCTAATATTGTTTTTATTTTTTATATATTTTCCATTCATTAGAGGAGGGCAGGCGGATTGTGATGAGAGGAAATAAGAAGAAGAAGAAGAATGGTGACAGAAAAAGAGAAAAGCAAAAGTATTGGTTGAAGAAAAACTGTTCGCAAAGAATAGACTTAGGAAAGAAGAAAGCAGATCGCGTAATTAAGCGAAAAAATGCCGAGAGGAAGACTAGCCTTCATTTGGGAAATATTTCTTTTGCCTAAAAAAATTTCGAAACGGATGTTCTCGCGTATTTTAATTAGAAAAATAATAGGATCTGTACACGAGTTGTGTGGTTTAAGGATGCGAATAGGAGATTTTCAGATAGACGCATCTTTTATTATATCGATCGATTCAGAATCGCGGCTTCCGAGAATCATTTTCCGAATCAAGCTAAGCTTGTCTATCCGTATTTTGTTTTGTTGCGTTCAACATATAGTTCGTAATCTTTGAGTTAATTTGATGAATTTTGGTATTTGTTGTCACATTTTTTGATCCAAGGACGAATGCTATGGAAAATGCTTCGGATGGGTAGACTTTTTCGATCACTGCCCATATAACGTTCTATTCGGAAAAGTTGTTTATATGGAGGAAAAAGTTGTAATTATCAAAATTTCTTGGCAAAAGTGACTAAGTAACAGTGTTTCGGCATTCTAAAGAAGTGGTATGAAGATTGTTCTCATCTAACCATTCCTGCGAAAAAATGGAAGCTTGATATGGTAAAAAGTTCGCATTTCTAATATTTCCCGATAAAAATGAACTCATAATAGTAAATTGACAGAGAAGTCTAGATTATCGAATTTGGATTAGGTAGATCTAGTTTTTTTTGCACCGCCAACCCGAACAAAATGTAACCTTCCATTACTCAATTCAAGCTTTCATGAAAATTATGGCTTTGCATAAAAATAATGGAATATTATTAACAAACAAGCGAATAACTGTACTAGGCGAAGTATGGTAGGGTTTCTAATAGGCGGCCCGTGCTCGACTATTATGTTCTTACTTGTTTCTTTTTTTTTCTTTTTGATGAAATCTATAGTGTACCGATATTTTCTTCTCTGTCAAAGTTGCTAGGAGGAAGCACACTGTTCAGAAGCTAAGTGTAAGCGAAATCAAATTTCATCGAGGAAACGAAACATTATAAGAAAGATGCTTAAATTCATGAAACTTATCGGTGTTGTTACGAAATTTACTATAAACAAAAAAGATATTAAATTGTTTATAAACAATTATAACATACATATATATATATATATATATAACATTCGTTTCAAAACAAAATATATGGGTTAAATAAGTAATAAAATGAATTAATTACGCATTATATTATGCTTTAGTTTATATTAGAACTACTGTCAACGAACGAATCATTTAGGCTACAACAAAAATTCGGTGCTTCTGTTGACTCGTGTAATATCATGTAAATATAAAACCGAATTTTCGTGGTCGACAAAATCTATGCG